GGAATAACAACGTGGACGTAGTAGAATTCTGTTCCCTTCGGGGTGCTTGTTTACCGTGAGTCCCCTTGCCTCTCACGATTCGGGGTAAACAAGCACCCTGGGGCCCCGTAGAGCGCCACGGACTTAACCGTGTTGGCGTACAGCCGACGCACCCTGCCGTCCGGGCCGCCAACGTTGGGGAGGAGCCGGCCAAGCTTGGCCGCCCTCACTCCCGCCCTGTTTGCGGCTCTGGCAAGGTGGCTCGCAAAGCTCCATCGGTCGCGCAAAGCTCCATCGGTCGTACTACGGGGACCCTGAGTTTGACACTCAACATCCCTCGTAGCGGGCCTCCTCAACATCTCCGCTTCGACTATCGCCAGCCTAGCCCGTAACTCATCGCGCTCAGCGCGGTAAGTCGCGGCCCTCTCCTGGAGACAGTACACCCCTGTTACCGCACAGGCGATGTCCGCCTCGAGTCCTCTCCTTGTCGTCGTCTCCATCTGTTCCAGACCTTCGCGTCCCTGGTAGAGCTGCGAATTCCAGCCCTCCAGTTTCCCAAGGACTCTCTCCACGAGCGTCTCCTCGAAGAGAGGAGCTAACCTCTTATACTCCCTCTTGAAGGGATCGTATTTGTCCACAAATATTGCCCTATGGACAACCTCCCACCCCGATCCGGTGGCCCGGCCATCGACGGAGGACCCGCCCGTCTCCATCCTTCCTACCTTGACGGACGGCGCCCCCAAAGCACCCCCTTCTTCTAGAAGAGGATTCCTCCCTTTGAAACGAAAAGACTTAAAAATATCGTTGTCTGCCACCTCGAGTAATCCCACTAACTTCTGCGGCTGCTCCAGCCAGGGCATGCCCCCCTCCCAAACTTGGGAGGCCCCGAGTCCTCCCGGGGAGCTGGGATATGGCACGGGCCGGGGGGAAATCCGCACCCCGGCACTGGCCTCCGGCCCATTACTCCCCACTCCGAAGAGTGGCTTTCGGGGGTCCCAGGGCTCCAACACCCTGGGCACCGCAGAAGTGCCGCCACGCGGGGGGCCCCGCGGACGGATGGGGTGTCGGGGGAGGCCCGTCCCCCCTTCATCTTGCCCGCCGCGGCAGCCAGCCTGAGCACTTCCTCCGCCAGGCAGACCCCCGCTAGAACGCAAGGGGCCTTGCGGAAGTCTCCCCGGCTGGGGACAACGAGGGTCGTGACTCCCTCGATGGCCCCTTCGTCCGAGGGACTGCCGCCGCAAGCCAGAGTAGCCACCCCCGGCCCTAGCGACAGCCCCCCGCCTCCGGCCCCCCGGACCCCGACCTGGGAATACGTCCCAGCGGCTCCGGAGGGTCCCAGGCCACCGAGCCCCGCCTCGGAAACGTCCGAGCGGCCCCGGCAGCCCGTCACCCCGTTCGGACCGGACGAGCCGGCGCCCCCATGCCAGGATGCACGCCCTCAAAAGGGCGTCACCCCGAGACACAGGGGACACCGACCCGCGATGTCCGTGGCCAGACCTGCGTGACTGCAGGCCCGGCCCCCTCACTGTCCGCCCACCCAGCCACCCGCACCACGTGCGGTTACGCCGCCAGGGTCGGACCCTCCCCCGCCGCCGAGACAGGACCACGTCCAGCCCAGCGACGGGAGAGCCACCCCCCCCACAACCCAAAGCACATAGGCCGGAGCACCGGCGTGCAATGAGTTGCAAGGAGGTCTGTCGGAGCGCTCTTGGTCAGCGGACGCCCGACCTAAGGAGCCGCCGGAGCCTAAAAACGGCACACGGACGGCTCCCGATCGAACGCCCGCCTAAGCCCCCCACCACGACAAGGTGGCGCTCCACGGGAGGTGCATCTCAAGAGAGATCGATAGTGTATATCCCGGCAGAATGCCGGGGATGCCACCCTGAAAATTGGCCGCCGCAGCAGCCCCCTCTTGTTCGTCGCTGCTCGCCCAGCAACCCAGTGACCAAAGTCACTTTGCGACCTACATCGCCTCCTTATGAAAGCCATCCTCCGTTCTGTTATATTACAGTGAGATGAGGTGGACTCTCACTAGGCGGACGCCAGTGTTGGCGGTCGGGTCGTACCACTGAGCAGACTCCCCGCCCCCGCGCCGGCCTCCCAGGCCTGGCATCGAGGGCATGAGGGGTCCCTCCCCAGGCGAGTGGGAGAGCGAGTCTTCCCGGCGCGGTAGGTGCGTGGGCAACACCCGCCGTGATGTTCCCAGGAGAACCGTCCACCCAGGGTCGTACCCTTCCACCGTCCAGCCACGCCATTTTTGCCAGGAGGTGGTCCTCCGTTAAAATCTGAGGATACCGTCCCCCGGCCCGGGTCCAACCTCCGAATATTTATACAGGAGGAAGGTGACCTCCTGTTCGGAGATGTGGGGCTTCAGGGCGCAGATACCCCTCCGCTCCCATCTCCTACGCGTCATTCCGGCCACCGGTTTTTGTACCAGGGGGTGACATCCCCTGTTGGCGGTGTGTGGCGCCCCAGTGAGAACCGGTCGCCGATCCACCGCCCCTACCCGTGTCCCAGTCTGCGAGTTTTTATACGAGGAGCAAGACAGACTCCTGTTGGTAGGTGTGTGGCATCGTGACCTCGCGGCCCGCGCCGATCCACCTCCCCTACCCGTGTCGCCGCCTCCGAGTTTTTATACGAGGGAGAAGGCGGACCCCTGTATTCCTACCCGACCTTCCGATTTTCAGGGTGAAGA